AAAGAGGCCAGTTCAAGGCCGTTTCTTAAAAAAAAAGTACACTTTCTGCATTCGAGAGTGCTTTCTCAGAAAAAAAAAATGAGGTGGATTTGGCACACGTTATTCAGGATCTTTTCCAACGAGAACGGCGGGAAAGGAAAGGAAGGAAGAAAAATGTAGCAAAACGAAGGGGCAATTCTCCCCAAGAGCCAAAAGGAACGGCCTCTATCCAGAACAGATCCATAATGATTCCAAAGAGACCGGATTCTTGCATGGATCTATCACTTTGCCACAGGTCCCGCGGTGTTAGCTCCAGCCATCTCCGTCTGTTCACACGTCTGCCGAGCAAAGCGGTTTGCATGCAAAAGTTCAATTTCGATGGAATTTGGCTTCCAGACCATTTTGGAAAGAGCTGACCTTCCAGTCCTGCCTTACTTTCAAAACCTCCAACTTGTATCATAGCTTCCATGGAGGCTGTCCAGATATGTTGACAAGGGCTAGAACTCCCAGGAGTCTAGCTTTAGGCTGGGAAAATTGGGGATTACAGAGTCTCATCACATCGGGAGGGTACCATGTTTTTTTTTAAAATAATTTTAATGTAAATGTTCTCCAGTAAAAATACCTGGCTAACGATAAGGTAAAGGTTCCCCTCGCACATATGTGCTAGTCGTTCCCGACTCTAGGGGGCGGTGCTCATCTCTGTTTCAAAGCCGAAGGAGCCAGCACTGTCCGAAGACGTCTCTGTGGTCATGTGGCCGGCATGACTCAATGCCAAAGGCGCACGGAACACTGTTACCTTCCCACCAAAGGTGGTCCCTATTTTTCTACTTGCATTTTTTTACGTGCTTTCGAACTGCTAGGTTGGCAGAAGCTGGGACAAGTAACGGGAGCTCACCCCGTTACGCGGCACCAGGGATTCGAACCGCCGAACTGCCGACCTTTTGATCGACAAACTCGGTGTCTTAGCCACTTGAGCCACCGTGTTACAATAGGGTGAAGTTTATAACTCTTTCTGTTCCTGTCCTTTCACCAGATGGTAAAATTGGTGTTGCCAATAGAGGAGAATTATTTGTAGCTCAGGGATGAATTTGTGGAGTCCTTGGTGTTCTCTGAGCTTAGTTGTTTCCTTGGAGATGTTTCACTACCAAACTAGGTAACATAAGCAGTGCATTAGTCGGAAATGAAACATCTGCAAAAAAAAAAAAAAAAAAAAAAAACACTAAACACCCACCACCACCAATCTCAGACAGCACCAAGGATCCCACAGATGCAGCTTACTTTGGTCTGTCTATAAAGTCACCAAATCCAATCCTGGCCAATTGATGGCTCAAAAAATATTTGAATACCAAGGCTTCAGATCTCAATGTACTCTAACACTCAGATGCCTTCACCGTGACCTGCTGGCTCCCGTTCTGTGTTTCTAAGAGCAAAGAAATAGACAACGGGCCATCCTTATTTTTACCATCCAAATTCGACCATCCCCAACAAGAGTTGGAGACAACAGGTTTCCAAAACCCAGTTAATGATGGGAGAGGTGTACACATCCATCCCTTGCTTGAGAGAGACCCCTAAAAAAGGGGTCTGCAACCTTAAAACACTCAAATAGCCTTTTGGACCCCTTTCCCACAGAAAAGAAAACACCGGGAGCCACAAAACCTGGGTGGGCGTGGCCAACTCAACGTCACTCCCACCCAGCCATGCCTACCGGAGTTTTGTGGCTCCTGGTGTTTTCTGTGGGAAACGGGTCTCTCTCCCTTTCTCCTTCTCTCTCTCTCTCTCTCTCTCTTTCTCCCCCCTCACTCATTTTTCACTTTTTCCTCTCCCCCTCCCTCCCTCCCTCCCTCCCTCCCTCCCTCCCTTTCTTTTCTTCCTTTCTTTCTCTACCCTTCTCTCTCTCGTTTCCCTCTTTTCCCTCTCATTCTCTCCCTCCAGCTCTCTCGTTTCTGTGTCCCTCTCCCTCTCTCTCCCCCTTCTCTCTCTCTCTCTCTCTCTTTCTCCCACCTCACTCATTTTTCACTTTTTCCTCTCCCTCTCCCTCCCTCCCTCCCTTTCTTTCCTTTCTTTCTCTCCCCTTCTCTCTCTCGTTTCCCTCTTTTCCCTCTCATTCTCTCCCTCCAGCTCTCTCATTTCTGTGTCCCTCTCCCTCTCTCTCCCCCTTCTCTCTCTCTCTCATTTGTTGCTCTCATTTTCCTTGCTCTCTCGGAGCATCGAGCAAATTTGTGCTCTCGCAGCGCCTTGCGCAGCACACTTAAATTTAGCATGCTTCACAATGGGGGAGACGGTGTCCCCTCCTCCTCCTGGAGCCCTTTACAACGTGGAGCATCGACCGCAGCCAGGCCGAGCCAGTGTCTCGGGGCGGAGAGAAAGTCGTGCGTCTCCCAGAGCGACTGAGGTCCACGTAGCACCAAGAAGTACCACCACGCTGGAAGAAGCGCCCGCAAGATGAGAGGCAAGCACAGGGGCGCTTCCCTCCCATTCTAGAATATGGAGCGAGTCTCCATCCCAGCCGTTCCCCTTATGTTCTCAGGCCATGCAAGGAGTGACTGGGAGGGGAGGGCGAGGGGCAGGGCCAGCCAGCCGGCAGGGAGCCACAGTAGGGGGACGAAAGAGCCACATGTACATTGCTGACACCCGAGCTACCCAGAACCATGGGCTTGGTGGTTCTGCTTCATCATTAAACCATCTTTCCAATCAGCCTCCATGTTTCCAGTGTCTCTCTCCAGTCTTGGAACTAAACCCAGATGGATATTTTCATCCCACACAATGTTTGGCCAAAATGATTGTAAATCACCCAAGTAGGATCAGTACTTTTTCATCAATGCAGGTAACTCCTCAACTTACGGATCACAACGGAGCCCAAAATTTCCCATTGCTAGGGGAAACGGCTGTTAAATAAGTTTTGCCTCATTTTATGACCTTCCTTGCCGTAGCTGCTGAGTGAATCGCCGCAGCTGTTGTTAAGCGAATAACCTGGTTGTAAAGTGAATCCGGCTTCCCCACTGACTTTGCTTGTCTGAAGGTCGCAAAAGGGGATCACAAGACCCTGGGACAGGGCAACGATCATAAATATGAGTCAGTTGCCAAGCATTGGAATTTTGACCACGGGGATGCTGCGGCGGTCGTAAGTGTGAAAAATGGTCATAAGTTACTTTTTTTCAGTGCTGTTGTAACATTGAACGGTTACTCAATGAATTGTTGCAAGTCGAGGATTACTTGTACTAAAAACATTTTAAAATAATTTTTAAAAATAGAAACATTCCATTTCAATGTCTGCAGAGATTCTCAGTCCTCCAGTTTATGATTGTCCCAAAGGTGCTTTTTTCAGGAGGTAACTGGACTTTCTTTTTTTTTTCTTTGAAGACATTTCGCTTCTCATCCAAGAAGCTTCTTCAGCTCTGACAGAATAGTGGGGAATGGAAGGATTGATATTCCTTGCTGACAGCTGGTCATTTGCATCCTTTTAGAGTTGTGACGGCGAACCTATAGCACGCGTGGCACAGGTGGCACGTGGAGCCGTATCTGTGGGCACACAAGCGTTGCCCTAGCTGAGCTCCAGCATGCATGCGCGTGCCGGCCACCTGATTTTCAGCCCTTCCGGGCCCACCAGAAGTCGGGAAACGGGCTATTTCCAGTCTCCAGAGGGCCTCCGGGGGTGGGGGGGAGGCAGTTTTCGTCCTCCCCAGGTTCCTAGAAAGCCTCTCGAGCCTGGGAAGGGTGAAAAATGGGCCCACCGTTCCATCACTTGCCAAAAGCTGGGGGAGCGGGGGGTCATGCACGCATGTGTGGGGGTGGTGGGGTGCATTGAATTATGGGTGTGGCCACGCATACGCACAACCCCCCCCGCACTCCCCCCATTTTTGGCACGCAACAGCAAAAAGGTTAGCCATCACTGTTTTAGAGGGTCGTTGAAGCACTTGGAAGTTTATCTGTGTCCTCAGGGTCACCCGAGTGGTGCAAATGGTTTCTGTAGTCCGACATTTTTTTTCCCTCCTGAAATCCATTCCTATTCCCTTCCATTCTCCACTATCCTGTCAGACCTGAAGAAGCTTCTTGGATAAGAAGTGAAACGTCTTCAAAAGAAAAAAACAACAACAAGGAAGTCCAGTTGCCTCCTGAAAAAACAGCTTTGGGACATTCAATTTAAATATACATAGCAAGTTCAGGGCTACCTGTATCAGGGGTGGATTCTAATTTTTTTACTACCAGTTCTGTGGGCGTGGCTTATTTTGTGGGTGTGGTTTGATGGTGATGTGACAATTCTTTACGATTTAGCAGAGGTACTGGTCTACCAGGCTTTTAACTGATTGCAGAGCTGTACCGGTTTACCCATTTATTGTTGCAGGCACTGGTCTACTCAGTTGTTTTTGGAGGCACCGGTCTACCACCACCCTGCCTTTTAACACTGATTAGCTGTAGGGCGGCCCTTTGAAGCCCGGCGGCAAGAGTTTAAACAGTTTTTTTCCTTCTAGCCGATCAGCTGGGACTCGGGAGGTAGTGAATAGATTGGGGGGCGGGACCAAATAAAAGGTAAGAATAATGTGGGGGGGGGGCGGGAGGGCCCAGCTCCCAAAAATAGAGAACCAGTTCGGTGATGTCATATCGTCACCGCTACTGGCTCGGCCGAACCGGGCCAAACCGGGAGGAACCCATCACTGACCTGTATGCATAAAAACGACAAATATATTGATCTAGATCCAGCGTATGAATACGTAAGAAACCACGCCAATCAACAAGAGAACCAATCCACTGCTCAGAATTTAAATACAGCTCCAAACGAACAACCAATCACAAGAACCAACTGACCACACTGACACCCAAGGCATTTATAAGCTAAGGAGAATTGGAAAAAAGACAATCCTACTGATGATGTTAGGTAGTGTGGTAACAAAACGTTCAGAAACTTAAATTGAAACAAGCTTGGATGGCAAACCGCTGCCAAGATCTAAAACCCGAGCTACGAGTATTTTTTTTTTATTATTATTTCGAGAATGACAGCGTCTGCTTTAAAATATGTATCTTACCAGGCCATCACAGTTGCTCAGGGCGACGGAAGCTCCTGCGACATCCACCAGATCTCCGACGTAAGCACAGTTGGTCCACAGGGATTCCTTTTTCCATAGTCTCTCCGTGACCCCCTCGCCTTGATCCTGGTGAACCTCTTCCGTTTCATTGTAGATCGATGGAGAATCTTCATACCACTCCACCACTGCACCGGAAGCTATTAGACGGGTGTTAGGCCTCAGTCGGAGGTGAAATTCTCTCCCAAAAGCGGAGACATTGAAGTAGAGTTCCTTGGGTTGACTTGGTGAAACATCCCTTGCTAATCTTCTTGAGTGCCTTTCAGAAACGAAGTTGGAAACGTAGCTTCCATCTGCGCTGCTGCGGACTGGGATGGTTAAGGCATATGGTTTTAGGCTCTGCTTTGTTGTTTCTGTTTTAAAAAGAGAGAGAATTTATTTACACATTGACTCCTTGATTCCTTCCTTCCTTGATTCCTTCCTTCCTTTCTTCCCTCCCTCCCTCCCTCCTTCCTTCCTTCCTGATTTCTTTTCAAAATTTGACTTTGTTTATCTCTGATGAGATTGCTCTGTCTCTGTTCTCTTCTACAGAATTGAAGTTCAAATCCTTCCTTCCTTCCTTCCTTCCTTCCTTCCTTCCTTCCTTCCTTCCTTCCTTCCTTCCTTCCTGATTTCATTTCAAAATTTGACTTTGTTTATTTCTGATGAGATTGCTCTGTCTCTGTTCTCTTCTACAGAATTAAAAGTCAATGTTTCCTTCCTTCCTTCTTTTCAAAATTTGATTTTATTTATCTCTGATGAGATTACTCTGTCTCTGTTCTCTTCTACAGAATTGAAGTTCAAATCCTTCCTTCCTTCCTTCGATTTCGTTTCAAAATTTGACTTTGTTTATCTCTGATGAGATTGCTCTGTCTCTGTTCTCTTCTACAGAATTAAAATTCAATGTTTCCTTCCTTCCTTCCTTCCTTCCTTCCTTCCTTCCTTCCTTCCTTCCTTTCTTCCTCCCTTCCTTGTTTCTTTTCAAAATTTGATTTTGTTTATCTCTGATGAGATTGCTGTCTCTGTTCTCTTCTACAGAATTGAAGCTCAAATCCATCCATCCATCCTTCCTCCCTTCCTCCCTCCCTTCCTTCCTTCCTTCCTTCCTTCCTTCCTTCCTTCCTTCCTTCCTTGACCAATAACCACAAAATCTTTTTGGAACAAAATTTTGTGCAACTGACAGTCTTGGTTTCGGCACTGTTAAGATGGCTAGGCCTTATTTCCTTCTCCCTGAGTAGCATCACTAAAGAACTACCTGAAATGGAATCCTATCGATACATCGATATTTTACAATGTGAGGGAACATTGGTATAACTGGATAGAACGGAGATAGATTGAAGATAGATAGTTATTAAGTACATGTAATGGATAAAATAAGAATGTAAATACGCACAATTTAATTTTTGTAAATAATGCACGAATTATTGTCACATGAAAAACATCACAATTAGCTGTTGTTGAGTGAAATAATTTTTTTATGTTTTTAATGTAATAAAAGTTTAATAAAGTGTTTATAAAAAGAAAAAAGAAATGGAATCCTATCCACCATACATGGTGCCTTCTGCAGAAACTGTACTCTTTGGATGCGTCATCTTAGCTAAAATCAGGTTTTTTTTTCCAGGTCTAGGACACACAGTCCTCTCACCAAACTAGCTCTCAAAGACATCTAAAGTCTTGTATTGCTTTCCGAGATGGTCTACAGAAGACCATGATGGCTTGTCTTAAACACCCAAACAAACAAGCCAGAACTTAAATTTCCACAGGAAGATTTATTTTTTTTTCTCCCCATAGGAGAAAGAGTTAGTTGCTAAGCCGTCAAAAGAAAGCATAGATTTAAAAAGATTTGAACACATCGCACCAGTAATTCCCTTCTATGGTCACTTCATTAAAACATAGCGGATGAAAGACAGGATGGAGCAATAATTCAGAAGAGAAGTGGTAGAAGAATGCGAATGGGAGTACATATCCAAGGCTTTCTTCCAGGTATCTCAGATTAATCCTGGCTCGTTCATCTCACCAGCAAAAAATGTTCCAATCACATGTGTGGTCACATAAGGAATAATCACAGGTTAAGGAAATACAGGGTGTACACCAAGGGTGAAATCTACTTACCTCCCCTACCGGTTCGGAAGTGCATGTGTCACATGAGATTTTGGACCCTCTGAGCACGCGCAAAGCTTTCTGCGCATGTGCAGAGGGTCCAAAACAGGTGACTTCCTGGTTAAAACCAGGAAGTAATGATGTCCGGGTGGGTGGGTGGAGCCTCGCTCTGCCGCCGCTACCAGTTCACCGAACCATATGCTGCCACCACTACCAGTTCGTGCGAACTGGTGCGAACCAGTAGCATTTCACCCCTGGTGCACATTTAGGCTTGGCTTGGCTTAACACAAGGGTCCTTAGCTACATTTAGAGCTTAAGAGTCAGGAGAGGGAGTGCCCAGGGATGAAAACCATGATGCAGTGTTGCCAGCCCATTCAGAACAGAATAACAGAATAAGAGAGTTGGGAGGGACCTTGGAGGTCTTCTAGTCCAACCCCCTGCTTAAAGAAGAGACCTTATACCCGTGATGGTAAACCTATGGCAGGCACACCAGACGTGGCATGTAGCACTCTCCCTGTGGGCACGCGAGCCGTCGCCCCAGTTCAGCTCCACCACGCATACACGCACGCCTCCCGCCGGACAGCTGGTCTTCGGGTCTCTGCCACACATGTGGGGTAGTGGGGCATATGCAGGGGTGTGCACACAAGCACTTGTGGGGGGCACCCACATGCGTGGGGGTGGGGTGTGCATGCCAGGCCATGTGCACATGCATGGGGGGCAGGGCTCATGTGGGGGGCACACATGCACTCATGGGGGGTCGGCCACATGCACGGAGCCACACACACATTAGATTTTGGGGGTTTGGATGCGCGTGTGCACATTTGCACACAGGCTTTTGGCACTTGGTCCGGAAAAGGTTAGCCGTCAGTGCCCTATACTATTTCAGACAAATGGTTCTCCAAATCTTAAAGACCTCCAGTGTTGGAGTACCCACAATTTCCAGTGGCAAGCCATTCCACTGGTTAATTGTTCTCACTGTTAGGAAATTCCTCCTTCGTTCTAGTTGCTTCTCTCCTTCATTAGTTTCCATCCGTTGCTTCCTGTCCTGCCTTCGGGTGCTTTGGAGAATAGGTTGATCCCCTCCTCTTCTTTGTGGCAGCCCCTCAAATATGGGAAGACAGCTCTCATGTCACCCCCACAGTCCTTCTCTTTGTTAAACCGGACATCCCCACTTCCTGCAACTTTTCATCGTGAATATCGAGGAAGAAAACTCATCTCAGTTTGATGGCTGCCTACCAGTGGTGAAATCCAAATTTTTTTTACAACCAGTTCGCTCTCACAGAGAGGGCCTCCTCAGGGTGCCGTCGGCCAGACAATGCCGGCTGGCGGCCCCCAGGGGGAGAGCATTCTCTGTGGGGGCACCTACCCTCTGGAACGAGTTGCCCCCAGAGATACAGAGGATCCCTGACCTTCGCGCTTTCCGAACTGCCCTAAAGACGTTTTTGTTTCATCAAGCCGGGCTGGCCTGACCTACTCTTTTTAAAAAGAATTGTTTTAAAAAATTAGGGGTTTTAAATATAGGGTTTTTAACTATGGGCCAAATTGATTTAATTGGATTTTAATATTGTTTTAAATTTTGTATCTGTGTATTTGATTTGCTGGCTGTTCACCGCCCCGAGTCCCTCGGGAGAAGGGCGGTAATAAATATAATAAACTATAACTATAACTACCGGTTCTGTGGGCGTGGCTTGGTGGACGTGATGTGGCTTGGTGGGTGTGGCTTGGTGGGCATGGCAGGGGAAGGATACTGCAAAATCTCCATTCCCTCCCCACTCTGGGGCCAGCCAGAGGTGGTATTTGCCGGTTCTCCAAACTACTCAAAATTTCCGCTACCGGTTCTCCGAACTGCTCAAAATTTCCGCTACCGGTTCTCCAGAACCTTTAAGAACCTGCTGGATTTCACCCCTGCTGCTTGCTATCTTATTCTGCTGATTAAAAGCACAAACAATGATGGCCAAATTTGTTTTCAGGAGTCTCTCCAAATTAAAGGTGCTTCCTTAAAACCAAGCAGGCGCAGATTGCAAAAATTAGGCAGCGGAGAAAGAGCTGTCTTCTCTTGAATAAGTGTGTGTGTGTGTTTGTCTGGAGGGGGTGTCGTTGGCAAGAGTTTCCCCAGGGGCCATTCAAAATTCTTTTGTAGATTCAGAATTAATGACAAGCCTTTTCATTGCTCAAGGATGTCTGGTTTCAGCTTACAGAGAGCAGCCAACTTCACCTCTTGAAATGGAGTGAGCCAACATCGTCTTGGGGTGACGTTTGAATGTACAGCTTAGGCTGGAAACTTATCGATTTGATCTCCTTCCCTTCCTCCGGTGGTAGATCCTGCCGTGGTCCTCAAAGAGATCTAGTAGGGCAGATCTTTTCTGACACCCAAATTACAGGTAGTCCTTGACTTATGACCACAACGGAGCCCCAAATTGCTCAATGGCTACGCAAGACGGTTGTGAAGTGAATTTGGTCCCATTTTATGACCTTTCCTGATAAGCGAATCACGGCAGACGTTAAGTTCCATAACATGGAACATGGCGCAGAAGGAGCCTTGGTGGCGCAGCGGACGAAAGTGCTGTTAAGTAGCACTTAGCTGCCAGCTGCCTGCAATTACTGCGAGTTCAAATCTCACCAGGCTCAAGGTTGACTCAGCCTTCCATCCTTTCTAAGGTAGGTGAAATGAGGACCCAGTTTGTGGGGGCAATAAGCTGACTTTGTATAAAAAAAGAACACCGCTTGGAGGGGGGCAAAAGCCCTACTAAGCAGGTATATACAAAAAGTATGAAGGCTATTGCTTAACGCATTGTAAGCCGCCCTGTGTCTCCGGAGAAGGGCGGCATATAAATCAAACCAATAAATAAATAAATAAATAAATAAATAAATAAATAAATAAATAAATAAACAAATAAACAAACACGGTTGTTAAGCGAATCTGGCTTTGCTTGTCAGGTCACAAAAGGGGATCACGTGACCCCGGGACATTGCAACCGTCATAAATATGAGCCAGTTGCCAAGCGTCCAAATTTGGATCCTGTGACCTTGGGGATGCTAGTGGGAAGTGTGAAAAAACAGCCGTAAGTCAACTTCTTTTAGTGCCGCTGTCACATCAGATGGTCGCTAAACGAACTGTTGTAAGTCAGGGACTCTCTCTACCCATGCTTTTTTTCTTTTCCTCTAGCTGCGACAGCTATTCTTTCTTCGTTATCAGTAAAGTGCCATCTGCTGATGAATGAAAATGTCACTCAGGGTTTAATTTATGCATTGGCAGACGGTGCTCAACTCCAGAGAATTTTTGCCCCTTGTTTGCTTTCCAGGATTCTGGGGTTGTATCTCTCAAACACAGATTTCTCTCAAAATAAGGGATCAACCTCTTCTCCAAAGCACCTGAGGGCAGGACAAGACGCAACAGATGGAAACTAATCAAGGAGAGAAGCAACCTAGAATTAAAAAGAAATTTCCTGACAGTTAGAACAATTAATCAGTGGAACTCCTTGCCTCCAGAGGTTGTGGGTGCTCTAACATTGGAGGTTTTTAAGAAGAGACTGGACAGCCACTTGTCCTGAATCGTGTAGGACAGGGGTCAGCAACCTGCGGCTCTGGAGCCGCATGTGGCTCTTTCACCCCTCTGCTGTGGCTCCCTGTCACTCAAAATATGCGTCGCAACTGCCAATGTGCGACACCCACCGGCACACAATTTATTGAGCTTTTCAACCTCCGGTAGGCCAACCATGAATAAATCCAAGAAAAGAAAAGTTTCAGAAGAAAAACAAAATGTTTAATTTAACTACATATGCTAGTTTTGTGGCCGCTCAAGAAATAGTCAGGCACGGGAAGGGTTTTGTGGCTCCCGGTGTTTTCTTTTCTGTGGGAAACGGGTCCAAATGGCTCTTTGGATGTTTAAAGTTGCAGACCCCTAGTGTAAGGTCTTGGAGACAAGAAGATCTCCAAAGTCCCTTCCAATTCTGTTATTCTGTTATCCCTACAAACATTGGAACCAGGAAAGCCATGGCATTCCCAGTGACACTCTTTGAAAGAAAAAGTTGGACTTGGAAGAAGCAGGAGAGAAAGAGTAATGGCAGCTTTGAACTTTGGTGTTAGAGAAGACTCTTGAGAATATTGCAAACAAACAAACAAAAAACCTTATAAGCTGATGGATCTTGAACAAATACACACCCAGACTTCTCACTCAAGCCACACATGATCAGACTCAAATTATTCTACTTTGAACATATGAGAAGACCCAGCTCTCCAGAGGAAGTTCTAATGTTGGGAAAGATGGAAGGAAGGAGGAAGGAGAAGAACAGGATGATCTGCATTAAGATGGGTAGACTCGGTCACCATGGCGACAGGGGCACCGTTGGAATAATAATAATAATAATAATAATAATAATAATAATAATAATAATAATAATAAAAATAAAAATAAAAATAAAAATAAAAATAAAAATAATAATTTTATTTCTATACCGCCCTTCTCCCGAAGGACTCAGGGCGGTGTACAGCCTAATTAAAAACAGAATAAACATCAATTTAAAATAATTTTAAAATATTAAATAAATTTGGCTTAATTTAAAACCCCAAAAATTTAAAACATCCAATTTAAAATTATATTGCTAACCCAGCCTGGCGGAACAATAGGGTCTTGAATGCACAGCGAAATACCCGGAGGTCAGAAATCTTACGAATTTCCGGGGGCAGTTCATTCCACAGGGCTGGGGCTCCCACAGAGAAGGCCCTCCCCCTGGGTGTCGCCAGCCGACATAACTTGGCCGATGGCACCCTGAGGAGACCCTCTCTGTGGGAGCGGACTGGCCGGTGGGAGGCTACTGGTGGCAGAAGACGGTCTCGAAGGTACCCGGGTCCTATGCCATGGAGCGCTTTAAAGGTGGTAACCAGCACCTTGAATCGCACCCGAAGACCACTGGGAGCCAGTGCAGCTCGCGCAGGAGGGGTGTTACATGGGCGCAACGGGTTGCACCCATAACCACCTGCGCAGCCGCATTCTGGACCAGTTGGAGCCTCCGAGTGCTCTTCAAGGGGAGCCCCATGTAGAGAGCATTACAGTAGTCCAACCGGGAGGTAACAAGGGCATGAGTGACTGTGCGCAGGGCGTCCCGATCTAGAAAGGGCTGCAACTGGTGAATCAGGCGGACCTGATAAAAGGCCCCCCTGGCCACGGCCGTCATATGTTCTTCTAAAGACAGCCGTGCGTCCAGGAGGACACCCAGATTGCGAGCCCTCTCTGTGGGGGGCAAAGATTCACCCCCAATAGTCAGCGATGGCACCTGCTGACTATATCGGGACGCCGGGAGCCACAACCACTCGGTCTTGGAAGGGTTGAGTCTGAGCCAGATTAGGGGCACAGATCATCATGTCTGCGGTTGCTAAGAGTCAACAACAACTTGATGGCATAAAACCAATCAATCTCTCAGGTTCTACATTCTATTGGTTGACCATAAGTTCCTTGGAATGGACTCTATCCAGTGGTGGGATTCAGCCGGTTCGGGCCAGTTTGGGGGAACCGGTTGCTAAATTTCTATCTGGCCCCTCCCCTCCCCACCCTTTCCAGGAGTCCCCATGTGCCCTGTTTTTGCTCCCAGGAGGCTGCAGGGAGGCCTACTAGGCCCAAAACGGGGTGCGGGGGGGGGTGCGGTGCAGTCTCCCTGTGGCCCGTTTTTGCTCCCAGGAGGCTGCAGGGAGGCCTACTAGGCCCAAAACGGGGTGCAGGGTGTGTGGTATGGCCTCCCTGCGGCCTGTTTTTGCTCCCAGGGGGGTGCAGGAGGCCGAGTGCTGCTGGTTATACCCACCATGGCCATGCTCACCCAGCCGGTCATTAGGGCAGAGAACCGGTTGTTAAATTATTTGAATCCCACCACTGACTCTATCCCTTAGGCCTACAAAGAAAGTTGCTCAGATTAAGCAGGGACTTGGTACATTGTGATTCTTTTCTGACTTTGAATTTAAACTTCAAGTTAAGTTCTTAGGTCAGGGCCTGATAACTGTTTTGGGGTTTTTAGAGTTCATCGTGTTCAACAGGTCCGCAAGGTGGAAAGAGTCCATTTTGTGACTTTCCCCCCCCCCAGTTCTTTCTCTTGTATTCTACTGTTTCCAAGTATTGCAATATCCACTATCCAAATGTCTATGATTTGGATTCTCAGTCATCCAGATTCTGGTTGTCCCAAAGGTGCTTTTTCAAGAGGCAAGTGGACTTTCGGGTTTTTCTTTGAAGACATTACTAAGTCTGCACTACTATTAATCTTCTCAGCGTTCCCACCACCCATCTCCTTCCACTTATGACTGTATGACTGCAATTTTGTTGCTTGTATCCTTACAATTTATATTGATTTTGTTTCCTGATTGCTTATATGTAACCTATGACTATCATTAAGTGTTGTACCTTATGATTCTTGACGAATGTATCTTTTATTTATGTACACTGAGAGCTTATGCACCAAAGACAAATTCCTTGTGTGTCCAATCACACTTGGCCAATAAAGAATTCTATTCTATTCTATTCTATTCTATTCTATTCTATTCTATTCTATTCTATTCTATTCTATCCTATCCTATCCTATCCTATCCTATCCTATTCTATCCTATTCTATTTATAAGTCTGCATTACTATTAATCTTCTCATCGTTCCCACCACCCATCTCCTTCAATTTAAGACTGTATGACTGTAACTTTGTTGCTTGTATCCTTACGATTTATATTGATATTGTTTCCTGATTGCTTATTTGTACCCTATGACTATCATTAAGTGTTGTACCTTATGAATTTTGATGCACATATCTTTTATGTACACTGAGAGCGTATGCACCAAAGACAAATTCCTTGTGTGTCCAATCACACTTGGCCAATAAAGAATTCTATTCTATTCTATTCTATTCTATTCTATTCTATTCTATTCTATTCTATTCTATTCTATTCTATTCTATTCGCTTCTCATCCACCAAGCTTCTTCAACTCTGACTGGATGGTGGATCCTTCCATTCTCCTCCATCCAGTCAGAGCTGAAGAAGCTTCTTGGATGAGAAGCGAAACGTCTTCAACGAAAAGCCAAAAAGTACAATTCCCTCAGCACCTTTGAGACATCCACTATCCAAACATTTGTTCTTTCTCTTTCTTATCCACAATTATCAATTCATTATCAACAATTATTAATTAAGTCTGGAGGTTCATGCAGCAGGGGCTGGTCCGTCTGAATTCTAAAATCCACAGAACACTTATTATTCCTTATGAACGCGTTGAGATTTTATTTGGGGGGGGGCAGGAAATTTAGCCACTCAGACCCTGGGTGAAGGAGGTCAAACAAATATTGTACGCAACTAAACACATCAAAGAGCAAAAAGGACAGTGGAGACAAATATTGCATGCAAATAAATAAACAACAGAGCAAATAACCAAATCGGAGTGGTGCGGTGGCCTATAGGTGGCGCTCTCACTTCACAATCAGGAGGCTGTGAGTTCGATCCTAGGTAGAGGCAGAAATGTTTCTCTTTCTCGGCACAATGAGAATATATCTGCTAAACAAAACTCCGCATTGGTGACAGGAACGGCATCCGGCCATTAAACAGTCTGCTAGCTCCATTTAGTTGCCCAGACTTCAGCCCGCAAGGGATTATGGGGTCGTTAAAAGATGATGATGATGATGATGATGATGATGATGATGATGATGATGATGATGATGAAAGCAAATAACCAAATTGACTGAAAACCACTTACCTGTTTGAACAGTTTCCTGGTGAGCAGCCTAGAAGAAAGGAGAGAAATATGAATTGACTTCTGATCTGACCCTGTTCTGTCCCCAACCCCACGCACACACACCAACAGGCGTTCAGGAGTTAAAGACCAAACCAGCTGGCAAAATCCTTTTCCTTATGATAACGGAACTTGGCAACAACCTAATGGCTGCATGCCAAGAGTTTATTATTTACAAAGAGGAGAGATAACTTCTCCCCACTTCTGATACATCCAAGGAAAGCAGCTCAATAATTACGGAATTAATCAAGTCCAGAGATACTCCAGCAAAGTCTTAAAGCAAAAGTCCAGCAATGCAGAATGGCGTGGAAGCTTTCAGCTTTGTTCATTTCAAGGTTTGACTGGCCACCACGCTCCCTTTTATACCATGTGGGATGTGGTCCAGTGACTCAGCCTAATCTCGGGCACGTCCTTTCTTCTGTTGCGCGCGCTTATCTCTGCGACGCTGGCGTGGGTCCAGCCAAGACTCATTACCCTCATCACTGTCCATCTGTGGCTGCGTGGACGTGCTTGGCCCTGGCCCTATCTCTTGCCCTTCGGCAGACACCGAAGGCATTGCCAGAGAGGAGGGTCCTGGAAAGGGAGGCCTTGCCAACTCCTCCCCTTCACTCTCGGAGTCCTCTCCTGACGATGACACAGGCTCCGGTAACGGAGCCACAACAGACCCAGAGGGGAAGGACGATCTAAAAAGCCATTTTTGCAAAAGGTATCCTGGTCAAAGCATCCTTAAATTCCAGGGTAAAGTTCATCAGGTTCTCTGGCCTGTTCTGACCTAGGCTTCCCAAAAGCACGAAGCCGACTACTCGTCCCGATAAAACCCTTTTAATTTAGGTTAAAGGGAAATTCCTCTCCAGCAAAGTCCCGGCCAGAGACTTTGTCTCTGCAAGAGATTGCAAGACTTTGTCTTGCAAGAGATTTCACAACTACAGACCTTTATCAGGCTTGGCAAGCTGCCAGGCCGATATCTTCCAAATGCCACTCTGTAGCAGACAATACTTGGCAAGAAGTCAGGAACAAATCTTCACTTTAATGAATTCAACTAATTGTCTCCTGCAAATTCCCCTCCCCTTTCGCTCCTCTTTATTCCCTCTGGGAGGGGCCATTCACCGTCCACGTGTGGCTTTACTCCTGAGTCGACCCTTGTTCTTTAGCTGTTCCCTTCTCCTGGCAGCTCTGTGCATGCGCACATTGGGAACAGGCTCCAGCTTTTCTTCTGCCCCACTGATGTCCGACTCCGAAGGCAGCTGACAACTGTCAGACGGCCCTGGCCCCCTCTCTGCCTCCAGCGCAGAGCCCTCATCAGAGCCCTCCCCAGGCTCCAGGACTGGCCCATGTTCCTCCCCAACCTCCTCACTGTCTGAGTCTGCCACCAGCTCCGCTAGCCTCTGACGGGCCACAACACAAGGGTGAAGACAGAGACAAGAGGCAGGGGCATCAAAGAAAGATTTCAACAACTCCAGATGCCTTCTGTGCAGAGAAAGTACAAAGAGTTGCTGAACAAATGGTTGTTAAGTCAAGGACTAACCGGTATGCACAGTTTTGATCAAGCCAGCAATTACTAGTGGATTAGAAACAAATGGGAATAAGACCATAGCAGATTTCAAAACTGCTTTTGAGGAAGTATTCTTGCTAGGAATATACACAATATACTAAATAAGTTGTAATTAATATATTATTTGTGCATTAGTTCCTTGCGTACAAATTCCTTCTGTACAAATTACTTGTGTGTGTAATCACACTTGGCCAATAAAGTATAGGCAGTCCTCAATTTAGGACCCCAATGGAGCCCAAAATTTCTGTTGCTGAACGAGACAATTGTTCAGTGAATTCTGCCCCCATTTTACAACCTTTCATGCCATAGTTGTTAAGCGAATCGCTGCCGTTGTTAAGTTAGTCACACAATTGTTAAGTGTATCTGGCTTTCCCCGTGAACTTTGCTTGACAGAACGTCGCAAAAGGGGATTACGTGACCCCGGGACACTGCAACCGTCATAAATATGAATCAATTGCCAAGCCTTTGAATTTTGATCACATGAAAAATGGTTATAAGTTACTTTTCTCAGTGCTGTTGTAACTTTGAATGGTCACTAAATAAACTGTTGAAAGTCGAGGACTAATTCTATTCTATTGTATTCTCTTTTCTTTTATGTTCTGTTCTGTTCTGTCCTGTCCTGTCCTGTCCTGTCCTGTCCTATTCTATTTCTTCATTCCATTATTCTCCTCTCCTCTCCTCTCCTCTCCTCTCCTCTCCTCTCCTCTCCTCTCCTCTCCTCTCCTATTCTATTCTATTCTATTCTATTCTATTCTATTCTATTCTATTCTATTCTATTCTATTCTATTCTATTCTTTCTTCATTCCATTATTTTATTCCATTCCATTCCATTCCGTTCCGTTCCATTCCATTCTATTCCACTCCACTCCACTCCACTCCACTCCATTCCATTCTTCCATTCCATTCCATTCCACCCCACTCCATTCCATTCCACCCCACTCCACTCCACTCCACTCCATTCCATTCCACTCCATTCCATTCTTCCATTCCATTCCATTCCATTCCACTCCACTCCACTCCACTCCACTCCATTCCATTCTTCCATTCCATTCCACTCCACTCCACTCCACTCCACTCCATTCCATTCTTCCATTCCATTCCACTCCACTCCACTCCACTCCATTCCATTCTTCCATTCCATTCCACTCCACTCCACTCCACTCCATTCCATTCTTCCATTCCATTCCACTCCACTCCACTCCACTCCACTCCACTCTTCCATTCCATTCCATTCCGATTTCTGTTCTGTTCTACTCCGTTCCATTCTCTATTTTCTATTCCGTTCCATTCCGTTCCGTTCCGTTCCATTCGATTCTTTATATTCCATATTTCTTAATTGCCCAGAGCCCTCTTATCATCCAGAACCCCTCTCTAAGGGAGATGGGCAGCTAAGAAATATAAACAAACAAACAAACAAACAAACAAAAAAACAAACTAATTAATTAATTAAACAAACAAACAAACAAACAAACAAACAAACAAACAAACAGAAGGATCCAGTCTGAAATTCTCAGGGAGAGAAATAGCTACCATCCCGTCCCTCTTCAAAGACTTGTACTGCATGCAGAAATTAGCCGCACGGTGCAAGAGTTTGATCCCTCCTGAGTAAGGAACCCAGCAGCTGTGATTTCACATAGAAGCAGCTCTCTACCCAAAAGGTTAGGATTTATGAGCATCTTAATTTATGTGGGGACTAGCCGGGGAGAGAGACTTTAAAAAGAGCCTCAGACAACTTGGCAGCCTCTGTTTATTCAGGAGGGCTAAACAGTTCACCCATTTTCCCTGCTTTTATGGTCATATAAAAAGAGAGAACGCACCATAAAAATAAATATCTATCCATCATCAATATAAAACTGCCTTTAAAAACCGTGTCCTTTGCATGCAGCTTTATGGGGTCTCTTTAAACTTGCACGCTGAACTGACTTCAGTGAGGTTTATCCTCCTACGCAGGCAGTCCTTGACTTAAAACCATCTGTTTAGTGACCGTTCGAAGTTACAACGTTTTTCATAAGTGAAAAACGGTCATTTACAACTTACATTTACAACGACTTACAACAGTTCATTTAGCGACCGTTTGAAGTTACAACGGCACTGGAAAAAGTGACTTAGGACCGTTTTTCACACTTACGACCGTTGCCAGTTGCCAAGCATGCGAATTTTGATCATGTGACTGTGGGAATGCTGCAACGGTCATAAGTACAGGTAGTTCTTGACTTATAACAGTTCGTTTAGTGACCGTTCGAAGTTACAACTGCACTGGTTAAAGGGACTTAGGACCGTTTTTCAGACTTATGACCATTGCCAGTTGCCAAGCATGCAAATTTTGATCGTGTGGCCGTGGGAATGCCGCAACGGTCATAAGTACAGGTAGTCCTCGACTTACAACAGTTCATTTAGTGACCATTTGAAGTTACAACGGCACTGGAAAAAGTGACTTAGGATCGTTTTTCACACTTACGACCGTTGCAACATCTCCATGATCGCGTGATCAAAATTCAGACACTTGGCAACTGAAAGTGTATTTGACAATCGAAGTGTCACATGATCCCGTTTTGCAACCTTCAGGCAAGCAAAGTCAATGGAGAAGCCAGATTCACTTAACAACCCTGTTACTAACTGGCAGGCAAGGGCTGCCTAAGTTATTTATTTATTTATTTATTTTTGGAATCTGCTAAGAACGCTAACCTGAGAGATGGTGTCCCCACCATTGATGCTACTCCTCCTTTTGTTCCAAGCCTTGCTATCACCTAACATCTGTCTCTCCAAGGTCGTACGTGAGAAAGTCTGAAAGATTTTAGATCTCAGAGCTGCCTTGGCACAGTGTTGAAATAGAGGAGAAGAAAACATTCCTTTAATCCAGGGGTCACCAACTGGGGGTCCATGGACTACTGGTGGTCTGCGAGAAAATTTTGCGCAGAAAAATTGTTTGCATTTTTTAATATTGCGCTAAATCAGGGGTCCTCAAACGACGGCCCCCGGGACGGATACGTGCAATGAACGTTTGTGTTGCTGCAGAGAGTCTCCCCCTTCGGGGTCTTTTTTTGCGGGTCGGAGGGGGGGAGAAATTCCGACTTGGGGTCTGCTTCAGCCTCCTGGTGTGGGGCTTTGGGCGAAGGCTGGAGGGAAGTGCCACTGGTGTCAAAGAGCCGGAGGGCCTCATTCCAGTGGGACTGCATCATGGCCTGGAACTGGCTGACCATCTCGGCCTACTGAGCCTCCAGGCGCTGGTACTTGGCCTTGCACTTCTGCAGGTCTTCCCTCTGCTTGGAAAGCCTATGCTCCTAGTCCTCAGTGAGGTGCTTCTGCTGAGCCCCTTTCTCGGCCAGATCCAATTTGAACTGAGCTGTCTTTTTTTTTTTTTGATTTATATGCCACCCTTCTCCGGAGACTCAGGGCGGCTTACAATGCGTTAAGCAATAGCCTTCATACTTTTGTATATTTTTATACAAAGTCAGCTTATTGCCCCCACAAACTGGGTCCTCAATTTACCTACCTTAGAAAGGATGGAAGGCTGAGTCAACCTTGAGCCTGGAGAGATTCGAACCTGCAGTAATTGCAGGCAG